GCCCAGGGTCCAGCCATAAAATAGTGTTGTCCACATATAGGATGGCTCTTCCCACCTCAATGAACTCCATTAAGAAAATCCCTCATAGACACACCCATGGACCAACACATCACCAACAATCGCAATAACAACCATGGTGATGTCATGGCTGAGGAAGTAGAAATTGTGGTTGTAGTATGAGATGGTGTTGTGGTAGTTGTCATGGTGATGGTGGCTCATGATGTTATTGTGGTTGTTGTAGATTTTGTGGTTGTTAAAGAACCAAAGCCCCCTCATTTCAAGCAAGCCCCTCACCCCAGCTTGAAACAGGCCTGAGTTCCATAATTCTCAGAGCTGCTGTCATAGGTCCCAGGACAAAGTTAGGATGTTTAAAGAGCCATCTGGTAGCAATTGATTAACCATAGAGTACCCCATGCCAGAGATGGTCAAAGTAAAAAGTTAGGATGTTTGAAGGACTATCTGGTAACAATTGATTAACCACAGAATACCCCAATGCCAGAGGTAATCTATAAAGTTTGACAAACAACTGGTTAAAACTGCAAAGTAAGATAACACACAAATTCTGAAAAGCCCCTAAAACTTGAGCCAATCAGAATTGTACCCATACTAGCACCCCTAAATGATGTAGCCCTATGGTTTTTGCCTGTAAAAACTGAGCTTGCAGAGGGGTGGGCACCTCTTCTAGCCTCCGCTGTGTCGGGGTGCTCGACCGAGGTCCCTGCACGGCTTGAACTGTTTTAATAAAGCTTGCTTTTGCATTTTGGTGAGTTTGTGTCTCTGGTGGTATCTTTGAGGGGGGGGGTCTCACGCCCAGGGTACAACAGTTGTATTATATGATGCTGTCATGATGGCTGTTAACAGTGTCATTTTTTTGTGGATGGTATTGTGGTTGTTGATGATGTAGCTGAGGAAGAAGATTTCACGGTTGTGGTATCTGATGGTATTCTGGTGGTTGTTGTGAGGATGGTTGCTGATGTTGTGCTTGTTATTGGGGCTTTTGTAGATATCATGATTATGGTATATTATGCTGCTTTGATGGTGATTGTCATAGCGATGGTTGTTGGTGCTGTGGCTGTTATTGTGATTTTTTTTTAGATTGTGGTATCTGATGATATCATAGCAGTGTTTGTCAGGATGTTGGTTGTTGGTGCTGTGGCTGTTATTGTGATGTTTTTTTAGATTGTGGTATCTGATGATATCATAGCAGTGCTTGTCAGGATGTTGGTTGTTGGTGCTGTGGTTGTTGATGAGGTTGTTGCATCTGACGTGGTTGTACCATTTTCTTGGCCTTTGGACTACATATATGTTTTCAAGTGTTCGTACCATGGCCCCTTTCTCAGCTACACTTACTTACTTTAATTATTAGTAGAGGAGTTAATTAAAACAAGAAACTTCTACAAATCCTACAAATCCCAGAGAGCTGTCAAATGCCCTGCCCCTGTCATTTATCACACTTTCTGTTTACAGGCAATGATCCAGCTTTCAATCTCTGTGACAATGTTCCAATCCCAGCCAATTTAAATAATCTGCCAGTAAAAATTCCACAAGCCGCTCACAAACACTTCACAAGTCTGAATATATAGCACCAACTGGATCTAATCATCACTTTCGCTTGTTGAATCCTGTTGGGAGGAGATGAGCGACACACAATGTCGGCATTGATTTGTCTCATGAGTCCTCTGCTTGTGTGTGGCATCTCTGAACCTCCCATTCCCTCTCCTAATTTCCCCGTCATCTTATTTACTTGGAAATACTCTGCAGAGCGACTTCGGAGAACAGCTTGGTTCAATACTGCGATCAGCCGAGGATCTTCCCCAAGGACTCTTAATTTGCCAGCAAGCCATGGTCTTGGCACAGGGCTGTCCTGTTGTTGAGAAAACAGGAAGGTGAGCAGCTGCTTAACCTTGGGATGTGTGGGGTCACTGTTGAGTTTCAGTTTCTTCATTGATATTTTGGGGATTAAAATACCAGCCTGTAGGTGTATCCTGGAGATTGCTTTGAGTTGATTTTATATTTAATTACATGTATGTATGTGTGTGTCATATGTAGGTATGTGCATGTGAATGCATGTGCCCGGAGAGGTGTTGTATCTCCCTAGATCTGGATTTAAAGTCGTTGTGTGCCTCTCACTGTGGATGCTGGGAATCGAAGTGCTCTTAACTGTTGAGTCATCATTGTTGTCCCATAGCCCTGAAGTTTTGAATGCAAATCCTGAAACACAGAAGCAGCTGGTATAAGGGAATGCACCATATCTTCTAGACCCACGGTAACCTGAGTGGGGGAGCCTCTCTAAGGACATTTCCCATAGGCTCCCTCTTCCCACAGAGTAACCTCAGCAAAATCTCTGCTGTCCACCCCAGGGGTCACAGTGACTGATTTGGTTATGGCTTTCCCCATTTCTCCATTTGTGTGTGTTCCTTCAGCTCTCAGCTGGGTGGGGTAGAGCCAACTGTCCTTCTAGCTTTGCCTTCCTAGGATCTGCCCCAGATGTGTGCCAACCCATGAAGGGCTCTCACAGCTGGGAGATGTCATGGGTTGAATTGTATCTCCCCAAAACATCTGTTCAAGTCTTAGTCCCCAGGTTTGTGTATGTGACCTTATTTGGATAAAGGACCATGATAGAGGTCATCAAGTGCAAAAACTAGTTTTAATTGTCAATACAATGTGGAGTCATTTGGGATGAGAATCTCAATGAGGAGTTGAGCATGTCTGTCGGGGATTGTCTTGGCTATGTTAATTGGTGGGGAGGATCTTCCCCTTGTAGATGGCACCATTCCCTAGACAGGGTGTCCTGGGCCCTTTAAGTGAAGAGAGAGAAGGGAACAATCACAGACATGCATGCGTCCGTCCCTCTCTGCTCTTGAATATGATGTGACTGCTTGCCTTGAGTTTCTGTCTCAACGGCTTTGCAACTGTAAAATTAAATCAACTCTTTCTACCCAAATTGCTTTTTGTCAGAGTGTTTTTATCACAGCGACAGAAATGGAACCGGGACGTCAAGCTAGGATGTGACCGTGTGACCGTACGGCTGGCTCTAATCCACTGTGACCGTATCTTTACCAAAAGGTGAAAACTGGTAGGTACAAAGACACACACAGACCTGAACCTGGAGAGGCTGTGAAGATGGAGATGAGCTGAGGCTTCTGCAAGCCATGAGTGCTGGTGATCTGAAGTCATAGGGATGGCTGTCTCAGGCCCAGACCAGACCGAGGGTAGGATGTAGGCCCTCTGAAGTGATGAGGTCGGTGGTCCCAAGCCCAGATCAAGGGTAGACATGGGTCCTTTGCAGCAGTGAGGTCAGTGGTCCCAGATTCCTTGCTCAGCACTGTGGTTTGTGCTGGTCATGAAATTACCTTCTAGTGCTTAGGAGCCATTGAGTACATTAGTCCTCAGGCCTGAACCTGCTGAGTCCCACACAGGGTGCTCAGCTCTGGATTCAAAGAGCAGCTCACCTGGGGTGCCAAGCTCCCCTAAAAAGGCAATGTTGTGAAAGAGCTGGCGTGGGAGCAATTTGTAGTAATAAGCCTTTGCCACCCGCCATCTCCCTCAGCAGAAGCTTAAAATATGGCAGAAACTCATTTCATGGGAAAGATGATAGCAAGCTCAGGGCACTGGGAAACCGAGACCTTGGAATGAGATCTGTCTTCATCAGAACCAACCCGTTTAAGACAGAAGTGTTTCTGGTTCTATGAAGAATATTTGCATATTTTTCAAATTCTTAACAGAGAAAAATTTCGAGGTGTCAGGCTGGGAGCCCTCAAGACAGCTGCTATTCCCTTCAAAATAAACGAGAGGTGTCATTTTTAATGAAGGAAGAAAAAAGACGCCTCTCATCCCCAGCTGCCTCCTTCCCCCCTCACCCTGGGAGCCCTGTCTGCCAGCTGCCTGGAAGAGGGAGTAGAAGCCAGGCCTGGAGCCGTGCCGGCCTTCTTAGGCTTCTCAGATTCACCCACCAATTTTCTCCTGAACTTGAGCCTGTGCAGGTCACATGGACCTTGATTCCATGGGTGTGGTTGGTCTCGGCTGGAGCATTGTGCCAAGAAGCACCAAGTCTCCTTAAGCTGGCTCAAGCCCAGGCTCTGTCCTTGGACATCAGCAACACCAGAAGGGTAAGCTGCCTCCACTGGAGGTGGAGTGGAGGGTGCAGGAAGGCTGCCAGGACTCCCTGAGATGGGAGCTCCTCGTGTCCATGCAGAAGAAGAAAAGCCTAGAGGCTCCACTCTACACAGAACTGACCTCACATATCTGTGCAAGCAGGTGGGAGACAGCAGGGGAGCCTTGTGATGAAACACTGTTGTCCCCCAGGGATCGAAGTGACCACATAGTACTTGTGTTCTGACCCTGCTTCCTGTCTGCCTAATATTAGGGCCACCAAAGGGGCTACCAGAAGGCTGCTCCTGTAAACCAGACAATGGCAAGCAGGTCAAGTTTATTTCCTTGGCCTGTGATGGGACTTCATGGCAGGCAGCATTTGAAAGTGGCCCCTGAGAGTCCCAGCCTCTGGCTTGTATGTCATCACAGTGAAGGTGGTGGGTCTGACCTAATTAGGTAAGCCCTTTTGAAGAGGGTCCCAGGGAAGACAGGGTACAAAGCAGCAGAGACAGAATCATAGGACAAGGACCTGTAGGTGACAAGTCCCCACCATCAACCATACCTGGCATCACTATCAGGCCAAGAACCTTTGATTAGTCAGGTCATAGGCCCCAGGAGAGAAGCTGCTGTTATTATCCAGCTAAATTCAGAATTATGTCTACAGTATTACACCGACCCCTGGGCCTGTCACTGTCCCTGCAGATTAACTCATCTCTCAATCCTTAGCAGTTAACACAGAGACTCACAACCAGTCAGAGAACATGAGACTGTTGAGTGCTCAGCCTTAAAAAGGATGTTTGCCCCCTGATGTTGTGAGCAACCGAGGAAAAGTCTGGCTTGCTCATCTCCACCCTAGCACCAGCCTAGCCTCCAGGAGCCGCTTCCTGAAGCTCAAGAGTTCATGAGAACAGCATCCACACATAGACCTTGAACAGTTTGCGGCTGTTCTGTGCACTGGGATGCAAAAGAAAACATCTCCATGCGCTTCCTGCCTGTCTTGTGGCAGTCCAGATTGAATTGGGGAGTACAAGTAATAGAAAAAAAGAGTTCTTGAGACTCAACAGACCAACAATGGGGCTGGTGACGGCTTCCAACACATGTGCATTGTGTCACAACCACAGTGAGGTGGCCTGCTTCTGGTCCTGGTGGCATAGGTCTTACTGATAAAGACTCATGGGCACACGACCTGCCTTGGCCCTGGGGTCAGTTACTATGGCCTCACAATTTTCTGCAGTTTAGGCTCTGGGGTAAGAGACCCCCCGCCCATTTGAAAAAGGGAGAACCATGTCACTAAAGGTGCCCATCCTTGTCTTAGCCCAGAGAGAAAGTTCTTGGTATCAGAACTGGTTCCCCTGTAAGCATCAAAACTGGAACTGTGTCTGAAATCCCCAAATGCCACCCAGTGTGCCTGACAGATTACAGTTACATCTTTCCTTGTACATACCACCCAGAAGGGAAGTGCAATGGCTACCTGTAGGGGCTGAGAAGGACAGAGAGGAAACTGACCACCACATGCTTCTAAACCAGCATGGGATATAGGGTCACCTCAAACTCCATACTTCTTCCACTTCCTGTTCCCCCAGCCCTGCACACTTCCCAAATCCTAAATACTATCACGACTCAAGTCCCTTCAAGTTCAGTGTGTCCAACTGCTAAAGTTGGGTCTAATTAGCCAGTCTTAATTGATATTAAGATAAATAACTTTTCAAATGATTTCCCCCCATGAGATGGAGACTTGTCGGAGGGCAACCATCCCTAATTTAAATCAATGAATTAAAACAAATGTGATTTAGTGGTTGCCGAAAGGAGAGGGAAATTTTTAATTCACTAATCAACTCATCCGTGTTGATGGTGGGGGAAATTCTAAAACACATTAATCAGCTGGGGACAGAGCCGTTCACACGGCACCATGCTGGCAGGGCCATAAGTAGGCAGGACTGATTTAAGATGCAGCAAGTCTTGAGGGTGTGCATCCCTGCAGCTGGGGCTCCCTCACCTTACCAAGTTTTTCTTCGCACTTAAGAAGGCTGGCCCTGTGGCTGGAGAGATAGCTGAGGAGTTAAGAACACTGACCGCTCATCCAGAGGACCAGAGTTCCATTCCCAGCACCCATGTTGGGCCATTTACAACCACCTGTAACTCAGCTCCAGGGTCCTTGACACCCTCTTCTGGCTATACCCACATGCCACACACACCCCTCCCTACATACATAAAAATAAGATAAAATGAATTTTTAAAGAAAGTGTCAGTCTTCAAGTAAGATACTCACTGTTTCTAAAAGTCAGACCAGTGGAATGGTTTAAGAAGTGAAAGTCCTTGGTGTGCAAGCTTGACGAACTGTCCCTGGATGCCACTGTGGGAAGAGAGGCGTGGCTCCCAGAAGTTGTCCTCTGACTTCCACTCATTCTGTGGTGTGTCACATCTCATTTATGTAGGTACACACCACAGCTGTACACAAATACTTTTTAATGGGTTAGCAAGACAGCTTGGCAGGTAAAGGCACTTGCTGCCAAGCCTGATGACCTAAGTTATTTGATTCCCAGAGATCCCGGAGGCCCACATGGCAAAGAAAGAAAGAACAGACTCCCACAAGCATGTACACCACACACACACACACACACACACACACACACACACACACACACCAAATAAAAAAGGGCCAATGAGATGACCCAGTGGGTAAAGGTTCTTGCTGCCACTCCTGAGCACTTACACCTGATCCCCAGGATCCATACGGTAGAAGAGAGAATTGACTCCTGGGACTTGTCCTCTCATCCGTGTCCCTGACACACAAAATAAATAAATAAATAAATAAATAAGATGTAATGAAGAGCAGAGGTGGACACAGATGCCACCTAATCAGTCATCCTGTCTCTTATCTCATTTTATACTCCTGCTTACACCAGAGAGTGAGTCTCTAAAATGTATCAGACTAGATATTCCCACCCCAAATCAGACATAGCCAAGGCATGTGAAGTCACAGACTTCAATGAGGGAATGGGAAATGGAGAGACAGCCCACATCCTGCAGCGTGAGCAGGTGTGGTCCAAAGCAGACTCTAGAGGCAAAGGCATAGCACACATTCCAGGGCTGCAAGGTGGGGGCTGGACTGCCTGGCTCTGCTTGTGTGACAACTGGGGTGCTATGGGGCTTTCACATGCTCTCCTTGTTTATGGTGTCTCTCTCCGTTTTCTGAAAATGCCACTTTTATCTGTAGATTCCCCGCCTGGTACGAGTTGTGAAAAGTGAGAGAAGACTGGATCTATTACAGATTTTTTGTTGTTGTTGTAAGCCACAGAACTTGACACAAACTGTCTGAAGCAAAAATAGGAATTTATTGGCTCCTGCAATGGGAAATGTTGGGATGAATTCAGCTGAAGGCAGAACTGTAACCAAGAGAAACTAAGGAGCTCTCACACGTTCTGAGCTCAGCTCTGCCTTTCTCCATCAGCTCCTGCAGAGCACCACAGCTCTCCAGCACACAGGCAGGGCGGTGAGCCAGCTCTGGCCTCCACAGACTTTAAGTGGAGCAAGATTAAGACCAGTCTTTCCTAGAATCCTAGCTTTAAGCAATTCCATGGTCCCTGGAGTAGCTGCTCTCAGTGTGGCAATCAGGTGAGTGGTTTGACTAGTCTGCATCATGGCTCCAAGGTGCTAACCCCCTCCACATGTCACCGATAGAAAGAGCTGATACCCTCCACCTGGGCATGTTCACTGGCTTCCAAAAGCTTAAGGAGATCAGGGCAACTGGAGAGGGGCAGATAACATGGGAAGGGCCCAGAAGATGTTGGCTGCTGGGAACCTGTCTACCCTGAATCAGACAGGCCAGAGAAGAATCTGCAGCTAACACTTAAGCTGGACTCCTGAGTTGAGGAAGTCACCTGGATGGACACAGAGATGGGAGAGGATGGACCTGGGCTCAGTGTGTGTCTCCTCAGGGAGGTGGTATGTTATAATGTGAGTGGGACAGGGTCTGATGTAGGGTGGCCTTCCTTCTTCCTGCTTTTCAGACACTTCTAATGGTGGCTGGCATTGGCTCAGTCTGTCCTGTTGTTCTGCTGGTTTCAGCCACTTGTGTGGGTTTCATATACTCTTGTTCTCACATAAAAACCCAAGCCTCAGTCTTGTGTCAGAGCAGAGTCCTCCAGAGGGAACCTGAAGGTCATGTTCATTTCAGTGTTAGCAGGTTACAAACACAGCTTCGTGCTCTAAACAACCCATGCCAGGGACATTGCCTGAGCTGGCTTCTGTACACTGTGTACCCTATTAGGATCCAGCTCAAGAGCCACCACATCCACTTGGGTCACAGAGATTTCCGGTGTCAGCTGACAGCCCTCAGCTTTGGCTGCCTGGGCTCTGCTCTGCCCTTGGTGTCAGTATTAACCCTGACCTTGGTGACCAGGCGGGAGTAGAGGATCGGGGCTGGGGCCAGGATGTGGCTCTGGTCCTGAAGTCAGCAGGTCTGGGAAGCTGTACAGCTTTTCTGAGCTTCAGTCTCTCCATCAGTGAAAGAGAAGCCTGTCTGGCTGCTTCCCTGAGCTGACACAGGAACAGGAGAGGAGAGGTGAGATGCGTGTGGCCTTTGGAGGACAATGGAAGACAAGTGTGTGGCCTGTTTGTGTAAACAGCACAACGCTGGCAAGCTCTGAGTGTGCAGAATTTTACACATCTTGAAACTCCTGCTAGAAATCTTGGCCTATTCATCCATTCATTCATTCATTCATTCATTCATATGACAGAGCATGTCTGTCCTTCTAGGTGCCGGGCCACATGTAGAAAATCTGTTCTTTCATGTTTAAGCCCTCTGAGCATGGGAGGTGAGTGGAAAGCTGACCTCTGTCCTGGACTTTATTATAAGTTAACTTGAAAGTCTGTCCCCACTGAGGGCTTTGAATGCAAGGGGAAGGTGTCTTGTTCAAGCCAGCTCAGATTCTAAGGCAAGCCATTTCTAAGTTCCTAAGCATGGCTCTGTTAGGAGGCCCCAAGCTTAGCACCCAGGGTCCTTGGGACAGAAGCCTCAGAGCTTGACCCTCAGGCCTCTGACATCTTATGGGCTGTCCTCCAATCAAGACTCCCCAGTGGCTCTCAGCCCCAGGAGTCCAGAGTGTTCTAGAGCAGGCCCATGCCCTACCCTACCTGTGGTGTCTTCCTCCTAGATGCTTCTATGACTGGTCCCAGCATATCTTAGGAGGTCAGGTTAAGCACATCGACCCTCGGCTTCCCCACTGTAAGCAGTAGCCAGTTGGTCAAGGTAACTCACATGGATGTTAGTGGGACTCTGACCAAGTGAATGAATGAGCTATCTCCTTGGCTCCTGTGATGCACTGAACAGGTAGGCACATCAAGCCTACTTCCTCCCCTTCCTCGTCGACAGGATGGATGTGAGGGTCAAGTTATGTATTTCCAGTAAAAGTTGTCTATAGGTTTTGGAGTTCCATATTTTTTTCCTGCCATGCTTGTCACATTTAGGTGTTCTCTGACACCAGCAGGCCACGTACTATCCCCAGTCACAAGCCCAGGCAGAGAAAAATGGATGTGATCATTTCCCCATGCTCACTTCCCTTGACAGATGTCCTGTTTTCAAATCTTCATTTTCTATCAGTTGAAAAAAAAAAAAAAAGAAGGAAATACCAAAATTTCCACTCCAACATTTTAAAGATAGACAGGGCTTCCCCTAGGCTCAGTAGCAGGACCTATTTCCTGGTGAACGAATTGGCAGAGTTACACAATGCAGTGTGAATTCAAAGGTCATTAAACCAGGCACACTAGACATTATGATACAAACTCCTTCCTGGGGAGTCATCTCCCAGTGATGCAGCCCCCAACCCCTGCCAGACTGACATTCCTGTGTGAGCCACCAAGCCTTCGAGGAACAGCATTTGGTCTCTGTTGTTGGTGGCGTTCTGTAATTGATCAAGCAGATGCTTGCCTCCAGCCAGTCTATCACCACTTGGGTTATGGAGGCATTCCGATGCTCTCTCTGTCACTTAGTTATAGTAAAACACATCAAGGGACCAAAGTTCACAATAATG